TCTCTCTCTCTCTCTCTGTGTGTCTTTCTCTGTCTCTCTGTCTCTCTGTCTGTCTCTGTCTCTGTCTCTGTCTCTCTCTCTCTCTCTCTCTCTCTCTCTCTCTCTCTCTCTCTCTCTCCTAGACACATTTGTCTCAGAAAGGCTCTGGACTTCGAGTGTATGATTCAGAATAGATAATGCCCAAAGCAAATTTTTTCCATGTTCCAAACTTGTTTGAACGTGGCGCTCACTCCTCACCATCCCTCCTACTCCTTCCCTCATGATCCCCAATCTCCTTGTCAAGGCAGCCTTCAAGGTAACACATAGGAGACTACTTCATAGGATTCAAGCCCTGTGAGTGGAAAGGAGACAAAACTGAGCTAATAGGCATTCTCAAAACCATTCTCGGTCTATGTTTCCTTACAGTGTGTCACGTCACATAACTTCTTCAATTTCTCTATCCTATGGCATCTTAACCTACAAAGTGCAAATGGCAATATTTCTTTTTCCCATTCAAAGCTTGTCTGGACCACAGTTTTGAAGGACTTTATGCACTACATCATTTAACGAACCCCTAAGGGCCAATGTAGCTCCCCCTCCTTGTTTCATTTTAGAAGTTCCCAGAGTCAGAACCACTGAAGTAAATGACTCAGCATTGTCCCTCCTGATGATTTTTGGAGGATTGTATATTTTGCTGGGTTGCTTTTAAACAGGTTTTTTTTTTCTATCCATTATAAAGCCCACATAAATGAGGCCCCCCAAAATAGAGTAACAGAGAATGGGACATGGGAGGTACCCTTGGAGAGGAAACTTCAGATGTGGGCTTTAGGCACATGACCAACTTCTTACTTGTAGGCCAAGTCGCACCAGCCTTTGGTGTGGACAGAATGGGACTGTAAGTCCCGCAGCAGCTGGCTACAGATGCCCTGCTCCTGGCACTCCATCCCTGTCAGCTGCTCCGTGATGAGGTAGGGGACAGGTGGGCTCAGTAGAGCCCCGCAAGTGAGTGGCCTCGCCCCCCACTCATTGCGGGAGACCACAGTGGGAATATCTGCAAAAGAGCCACAGGGTGCATGCAGTGAGCCCTACCCAGGAAGAACCCCAAGAAGGAGGCTTACACTGCCTCAGCCTCTGCTTCTCATCTCTGTAGCCCAGGTTGGGCCCAATAACCCCCAGGCACACTGTTCTAGGCCTAGGAAGTTCTGCTCCTCAGAACTCTCTCCTTGTGTTTTCCTAGAGGACAAAACCCACTCTTTCTTCCTTTCTGGCTTCCTCCACCTCCCTCCCTTCAGAGAGCATCCCCAGATGACTCCCTGTACCCAGCCCCAGAAGCGTGGCAGCATGGATGTCTGAGGATCTTCTTCCTGGTCTTGGACTCTGGGTCCCTGCCTCCATGTAGCTCTTGCAAGTGCTCTATTCAGAATGGTGACTCTCCAGAGGAAAGCCTGTTAGCTTCCTCAGTGAGGGCTCCCATTCCCTAAGCATGCGACACAAGTCTCCATCTGACAGATGAAAACTCTCTGGGGAAAGAGGTGTGAGGCCCTGCATAGGCATGCAGGCCTTCAGAGGACTCTCTCTCTCTCTCTCTCTCTCTCTCTCTCTCTCTCTCTCTCTCTCTCCTCCCCCTCCCCATCTTGAGCATCCATGGAAGGCTATGAGGAGTGGGGTGCCTCTACTCATGCTGGAAGCTGGGAGGTGAGGCATGAATCTACTTTTGCTGGGTTTTCTCTTCTGTTTCTTTACCTGGGCTTTCTCTTCTTTTTCTCTACTTAGGGAAAGAACACATCTTTACTTAAAACTAAGAGGTCCCTAGAAGTTGCCAGCAGATAAGCCTCATAGAATTCTACCCCATTCACTCAGTCCCAGTTCAAACAAAATCAAGTCCTGAAAGCCCCACCCTCACCCTAATCCAGAATCCAGTTTCACCATTATGATCCTTTTGGGTGAGCTGGGAAGTGCTAATAAACAGGTCCAGAAGTTTCTCCGAGATGCTTTTGGCTTCAGTTTCATTCCAGAACAACTGTGGGACATTCCCTGCAAAAAGACAGTGGTGCTCATACTTGAGAACTCTCAGCTAGCATGCTCAGAGGCATCAACCAGACATTTCCACCCCATAACCCATAGCCTTTCATCCTCTCAGGTCCCCATGTCCGTAGGAAGTAACACAGGATAACCATATCCATCTCTGGCCTCAAAATGCCTCTCTCTGCCTTGAGCACCCTCCCTCTCCAGTCTTCCTTCCATCTAAGGATCATGGTAGCCTCTTGTCTTATCTGAGAAATGCAGTCTTTCCTAACTCATTTGTGCCAGTTCCTACTGATAAACCCAGGGGTACCCATCAGAGGGCTACACACCAAAACAATCATTATTTTTACCTAACACTTAATATGTGTATTGAACACTTACTGTAAAATTCTTGAAACATAGAAATACATTGATCTTGTGACTTCCCTAAAAAAACTAGATATTTTTACATGCTTCATTGAGCATTTATATTCACCAAAATGTCCTCATGTCCCAGCATTCCTGATTAGTTTCAGAAACCGTGGAAGCAATAGCCACCTGCAATAGCAACATTGTCCCCAACATTGCCCCCAATAGGCCATCTCTGTGATGACAAACTTCCTAAATGACACTACCAGAAATGGACTAAGAACAATTTCATGAAATGAGCAAACTCCCTCTCCAAGTTCTAACCTGTGCTGTCAGGTTCCCACCAGACTGACAAGAGAGCTATAACTACCACCCTCTGCAGATGTCCCATTCTCTTGTCGTGTGACCTTGGGGACATCACTGCCTCAGTGAGTGAGGCCCGTGTCTCTGTCTATAAGACCAAGTCACTGAAGGTCTCCACCATGGTTCTAGGATTCTGTTCCTCTTGGAAATGATGATCAAATACATGACCCCAGCGTGGAGGCTGAAGTGTGCTGGGAAGCTAGCTACACACTGCTGAAGGTAGAGCCCACCTCATCGGGGGAGGGACCTGAGCTGTAAGGAGTAGCACAGGATAGGGAAGGAGAAGTGATACCTCATAAGAGAATGATTTTCAAATGAAGCCCACAGGAACCTACATTGAAAGGACATTCAGTAGTCTAAAGCCACTGCCAAATAGGCAGGACAGGTACAGAGCAAGAACCAGAAGACTGAGGCCCAACTTATAGCCTTGCTTAGATAAGTTACTTCCCCTATAAGGACTTCAATTTCTCTGTCCATAAAATGAAAAGTTAAACCATGAACTTCCTGATATTTGAGTTTTTCGAACAATGACTTCAAGTCATATCATTGTGTCTAAGTAAGGAATAGACTCGTTATAACATGTTTAATATTGAAGAATCACTCAACCTACTTCAATTTTAATACAACAGCCTCTGTTTGTTGGGTATTTACTACATGTCTAATCATATGTATATAACTATAAGAAACATTCTGGGGCTGGCCATATAGCTCAGCAATCTTAAGCATCTCCTTAAGCAGATGCAGGGACTGGAGTTCGATTCCCAGTGTGCCGTGCCAGCCCTGCCCCCAGTGCATGCGGAGATGGTGATTGAGACTAGGTGTGGTGGCTGTAATCCCAGTGCTTGGGAGGCTGAAAACAGAAGAATCACTAAAAGTCCAATCTACGTAGTGAGACCCTGTAGACCTTGTACTAAATACATTGAAAAAAAAGAAAAAGAAACATTCTGATGTGGCAAAGAGTAGTATTATTTTCCAGGCCTTTGCAAAGATAGGTCCTAATGTCAGATTTAACCCCATGTTTGGTATAATAATAATGGTAAGATAGTTAAAACTTACTACAAATTACCTAGCACATATTGCTTGAGCGATGTGTACAATGCCTCACAATTGGTATCTAATTTAACCCTCAGAAACAACACTAAGTAATATCCTCATACCAGGAAAGCAAATAAGACTCAAAGAACTAAATAACTTGTTAAATATCATAGTACAACTGAGGGCAAGGATGGGAACAGAGGTCTATCAATGCCAGACTAGGGCTCCAAATTCCAAAGTTACACTATTCTTTAACATAGGGAGAACACTAGGTTAATTTTTTTGTTGTTCATTTTAATGACAGTCACTTCTGACACAAGGAGAGAAAACTTACCCCAGGCCTGAAGACTCACAGCAGAGAAGACAAGAAGCCAGGACAGCATCCTCACAGTGTTCCAGGCCACCGAGAGGGAGAGTGCAGATACCAGCTCTGGAGGGCAGTGACCCTGGAGAGACCCTGGTAGTTAACATGCCCATGCTCGTTCTTAGAATCAAGCACCCGCCTGCTGCCTGCTATCTCTACCAACTCCCTCACCACACTGTGGCCTCCTGAGGGCCAGCACCTGGCTCCAGTTTCTCAAGTTCTTCTGCTCACTTCAATAAACCTAATCACACTAATACCCCTTTCTAGCCACCCCATTCCCTACCTGCCTCCTGTGAACCTAGGGAACTCCTAGCACCTCAGAGGGGTCCAGTTCCTGATCCTAGGCTTGCCAGAACAGATAATAATGATTTCTAAAACCCTCAAGTAACTACTATGAATAAGTCCTGATATTTCCATATCTAGTGCTCCAATTTTACTTCTCCTAAAACCCTGGTAAGGCATGTGTTCTGCATCTCATTGTTAAATGGAAAACAGTGATGCTGAGAGTGAATAATAATAGTGGCAGGCTTGGGCTCCATCCCCTGGGTTACTAGAGAAAAGGAGGTACTTAAAGTCATCTGAGTCAATTCCTCACTCTGCAAATATCCCTGGAAGATACCCAGCTAATTTTTCTTGAACGTGAATAAGAACAATAGTAGTTAGCACTTACTGACCCCATTCTACGTTTCATGTATTTGCTGACATTTCCTTAAGTCACACAGTGACCTATGAGACCCATAATTAGCATCAGAAAACTGCATTTGAGACAATTTAAGTCACTTGCCTAAAGTTGTCAAACTAGTAGAGGCAGAACCTACGCCCAGTACCGGGCATGCCTGACTACAGAGCCTCTGCCTGGAACCTCACAATCTGCCTGAGTTTTACCCTTGGAAATTCTCAGTGTGATCTCAGAAGTGAAAAACACAGGATGGTGTGGTTTTCCTTGGCTCTGTCAGGAAAAATAAATTGCCTACTCATGCTCAATCAATATGAAGTATCAGGTATCTAAACTGTCAATCAAAATTTCTACTTTTCCCCAAATTGAAAAATAGATGATCATCAACTTCCAAGACTTTGTTACAACAGTGAGGGTCCACAGGGAGAAATCTTTTGGAACCACAGATTAAGAGTTAAGCATAGAGAAGTTTCCTGGGTCAGGACAAGTAACCTCTCAGCGAGTAACACCCAGGGTTGTATTCACTTAGGGAAACTGTGCCCATCAGAAATAAGCCGACACCTAATAAATATGAGAGCAAGTGTGTGGTTTTCCTCTTTAGCTAAATGAAAGATAAGGATCAACTTGGCAATTTGTCTCCCCCAAAAAGGCGCAACCCTCTTACAGTGCTATCAGAAGTAATAGCCATATTCAGTAGGAAGTTTGGATTCAGGTTGTTTAATCCTTCTGAATTTCCAACTATCAATGTTAGCATCACAAACCTTACCCCAAGCTGTTCACATCACACACTTAAAGTTTCAAGGCTTGGCACTGGCCTCAAAGTGCCAGGGGCAGAACTAATGGTGTCAGTCATCCTACCTTAAACAGTAAGGATTGCGGATGGGCTGGAGCCCTGGATCATCTTCCTGTGCACCATTTATGCTGAAATATAACTGGATCCAAGTGAGACATACACATATGGAGTCAGTACTCTACTGAAAGGGGGAAAATTGTGTGGAGGTAACCCAAGGGTCTGCCTACACATTGACAAAGCAGGTCAAGGAGTGTTAGTATCAAACTTCAAACTCATTTAGAAAATGCAGAATTTTGAAGGAACCCAAGGGCCTGCCTACACATTGGCAAAGCAGGTCAAGGAGTGTTAGTGTCAAACTCATTTAGAAAATGCAGAATTTTGAAGGAAGGTTTCAAGAGGGTAGAGCAGGGGAATTTTCCCTACCATGTTCACATGAGGGAGCCCAGCCTCTTCTAGGACAAAACTCAGAAAAAGGAACATTCACACTCACACTCACAAATACCTGTGCATGCTGTGTTGTCCTGGCCCAGCAGGTCAGGGTGCAGTCCACTTGCTCCTCATTGGTTGGTCCTTCCTTCAGACTTGGCTTCCAGATTCTGCCCCTCCTCCAACTGGCTCCTCCCCTCCTCCTCCTCCTCCTTTTCCTCCTCCTTCTCTTCCTCCTCCTCCTCTCCTAGCCTTTGCTCTCCCTCACACTGAGAGGGAACTCTCTTCCTGGGAAGGGAGCCCTTGGGCCCTGGCTTCCCAGAGAAAAGAGCACCTTGGGTCCCTAACAGAAGATGGAGGACAGAGATCTGAGGCTGGGAGCTGACTATGCTCACATCGCTGAGAGGAGCTCCAGTGAAACCAGACTGGAGCTGAAAGCTCGTGGGGACATGCCCTATGAATAAGCCCAGGTCCCTCCACCCTGGGAAAGGGCCTGATTTCCCAACTCTTCAGGTGCGCCTCCTCATCTCCAGCCCTCAGTAAGCCCTTCCAACTTAGGGGTCTATGTAGGGTCAAAAAGCTGTGTCCCTGTTGTCTGGGAACTTCCAGTCCATGAAGGTAGAACTGCTCTAGGAGTTTTTTTGATTTTTTAAAATGTATTTAGTACAGGGTCTATAAGTTGGTATGCTGCAACAGAAAACAAATACAGTACCTAAAATAATATTTCATCTCAGTCCTACCCAGGTCCGGTGAGTGTGTGGAGAGCTTCCTGTTACCCTGCACCGGCAGGACCAGTCCCAGCCCAGGCGCAGAGTGGGCCAGACCCTCTCCCACCCCCTCGGGCGGACCCCACCACTCCGCAGTACCTTCCCCACCCCACCCGCCGAGTAGGAATTTCTGCCAAGTTCCGGGAACCCCCAGATCCAGTCCTAACCCAGGGGCACAACATATTCACCCTCAAGGGCAGCAGCAGGAAGGAGCTGAGCACAGCAGCCAGACCTAAGCCAGACGCAGCTGGATAAGTCCAAACTTTGTAGAGCTGCACCTGAACTTCAGTACGTGCGAAGGTTATAACTACAGCAAAGATCTACAACAAAGGGCAGAAGACAGTGCTACACAAAATGACGAGAAGGAACAAAATGCAACCTCAGATAATATTTCATCTACTGGCCATAGAAGAGCATGTTAGGTACTTAGAATAAAATCTTTCCACTCAACTCCCTTGTAATCTTGCAAAGGCAAAAGAACAACTAGCTTTTTAAACAATTCTACACCTTCACTAGAATCAAAAGACCAAAATTCAATTTTAGCTAGACAGGATGAATTAGTCCAAGGTAGCACCTGACAACCATTGTTAGTAATAATGAATTATACCTTTGAAAATTGCTGAGGATAGGCCTTAAATATTCTTACTACTAAAAATAAGAATGTGAGGTGATACATGTGTTAATTAGGTTGGCATAACTATTTCAAAATGTATACATATATCAGCACATCGTGTTTTGTACCATAAATGTATACAATTTTTACCTGGGAAAAAAGATTTGCAAATCACATAATCCAAGCTTCTAACTATGTGAAAGTAAGCTAGGGAGGATCTAACAGCAAAAATTTGTACTGGGGGCCACAACAAGGCCTGCTGAGGGGCCAGCATCGTGGGAAATCTTGGGGTGGGCAGACAGACTATCAGTAGCAGAACCTGGAAACAGCAGTAGAACACGGTATCCCCCAGAGTGGGTACCACTGCAAAAAGGTGATAGGACAAATGGTAGACAGCTTAAAGAGCTGGCGGGGCTGTCAGAAAGGTACTGGAGTACTCCAGAAAGCGAAGGCAGTTCTGCATTCAGTGAACTGGTCAGTAAGGGGCAGCAGTGGGAGAAACCCTTAAACTGGGACACAGGAGTCACTCACTGTCTCCTATGCCAACATGACTGTCACTAAGTACTCCTATAGTGACTAGGCCACAAAAACTTAACCACTAAAATTTAAATGATGCAAATGTAAAAAATCTCCTCCCAGAGGAATGTTACAAGAAAAGATTCTGACAGAATTTTTTTTTCATTGTTTAACTATGAAAGAATATCATAAGCTGAGTGTGGTAGTGCATGCCTGTAACCACAGCACCCTGGGAAACTGAAACAGAAGGACTGCAAGTTGAAGCTGGGCCCAAGCAATTTAGCATCTTAGGGAGACCACATCAAAAAAAAAATTTTTAACGGGCTGGTGAGATGGCTCAGTGGTCTAAAGCACCTACTTAGAACAAGCTTAGCAAAGCACAGGGACTGCAGTTCAATCCCCCAGCACCACATGTCAGGCAGCCCTGCCCCCTGGTGGGCTGAGCTCACACACACACACACACACACACACACACACACACACACACACACACACAAATAAATAAATAAATTAAAAAAAAATTTTTTAAGTTCAAGAAAATCCCCAGTACCACAAAAGAAAGAGGAGGAAGAATAGCAAGAGAAGGAGAAGACAAATGAGGAGGATAAGGAAAAGGAGGAAGAAGGGAAGGAGAGGAAAAGGAGAGGGGCAGCAGGAGGGCAGAGGGAGGAGGAGGAGATGACGAGAAGTAAAAGACCTTCAAGAATATTTTAAATAGGAAGGCAGTCTGAGAGAAGAGTAGCATAAGCATGTCCAAAACAAAGACTAAGTTACAAGTGGAACAGAAGCCAGTAAAAAAAGGGGCTCTAGAGAAGAGAAATAAAAAAGTTCTAGAAAACTGAAATAGAAAAAAGAGAGCTAGAAGCATTACAGATCTAGTGTACACAATACAAAATTTATTTATTATATCTGAACTGTACACTCAAAGTAGTCATGGTGATGTATTGTGCCCTAGCAGGTGCTTTAGACAACTGAACTAAAACTTGAGAATTCTTTTTTTTTTTGGGGGGGGGCAGGTTGGGGGGCTGGCTCTGGCTGCATTAAGCATGGGTCTGGTGCAGCATGTGGTGCTGGAGATCGAACCGCAGTCCCTTGCCCCTGACTGATTTTGCCCAAGTAGGTGCTTCAGACAACTGAGCTAGCCTGCCAGACCACCCAAGATGATTAATTTTATGTGTATTTTATGACAGTGTTTTAACTGGGGAGAGAAAGGATTAAAGTGATTCGCCTAGAAGATAAGCGAAGGAGATCCAGGATACCCATCAAAATGAACAGTGGAACAGTGTAAATATTTTACATGATAATTCAAGAAATAAAAGAAAATATGACCTTACAATTTTGAAAGATGACACTTTTTACCTCAGAAAATTGATCTAGGATAGTAAACACTAAGATATATTATGATACTTAAAATATGAAGAAAGATCTTTTTTTATTTGAAAGAGAAAATAAACCTAAAAACAAATAACGAGACTAAAGACAGAAGCAAAGCAACAAAAAACAACAAAAATGGCACAGAATTGCAAAACAAGAAAAAAATTACAATGCTTGTTATATTACATATTGTTATCATCAAATTTGTTGCTCGCATTACCAGCTATAGGCATGCGAGATTGATCAAACAATTAAACATTAACTCTTCCTTTCAATAAACCTTAATTATTTTCCTTGTTCTTTTTACTTTTTATTTTTAATTTATTTTAAAGAGCGTATAATAATAATAGATAAGACATTGGAGACAATACACATGTAAAAGAACAAGCTGAGGAGTATTCAGCCATGGTTGTTACATTGCATATTACTGTCCTCAGTGTAGCTGCTCAGATTACAGATATTAGCACATAGAGTTAGTCAAAGTAAAAATTTATACATTAACTTCTGCTTCATAAAAACTGATAGAAGTTAGTAGTACAATCATCTCAGCTTTCCTGTGTATACATTTATATGATTTTCTCCCCTTTCATTTTTCCCTGTTTTTTTCCTTTCCCTCATCTCAATGATTTCTTCCTTATGTTCAGTTTCTTTCCACTTTACTCTATCTATCATACCTTTCAGATTTTATTATTTCAGGTTCTTACACTAGGGAGACAATACGATGTTTACACATATGGGTCTGATTTACTTCACTTATGAATTTATCCTCTAATTGCATCCATTTACCTATAAAAGCCTCAATTTTGTCTTTCTTTATAGCTGAGTAATACTCCATTGTATAAAAATATAACATCTTTCTATCCATTCCTCAGGTGATGGACATTGGAGTTGTTTCCAAGATTTAGTTATGACAAACCTTTTCATCCAGCCATGGAGAAAGGCCAAGATGAAGGCCCCGGTTGGCAAGTGCCTGTTTTCTGCATTGTCTCAAGGTGGAAAGCAGATGTGTCACAGTGCAAGCGAGTGAGTTGTTCCTGTGAGCCATTTTTTAATTAAGTAATGCCACTGCGTTGATGTATTCACAAGGGCAGGGTGCTCAGGACCCCAGTACTCCCCATGAGGCCTCACTTCCCAACCACTGAGTGGCCACTTAAGTTTTCAACACACAAATCCTGGAGGACACATTGACACCACAGCGAGGCTCAGAAGCAATACTATTTATCCAGTATATGTGCCTTCAAAAAGGGTTTTATGTACCTTTTATTCTTTGATGGATAGGCTTGGATGTATATAAAACCTTTGCTCATTTTCTTTTCTTGTTGTGAGTATTGTTCTTGGCAAATCTCATGCCAAGCTGATATTTCTGTTGGAAACAACTTGGTCTCTTTTCATGGAAGAAGAAGCAAAGTAATTACTGTAGAGTCCTTGCCACAGACCCAGAAATCTGGATGGTTCCTGGCTCATGCATCCAGTTAAAAGAACCGGTTTCTCCTTCCTGTTCACTTCTTCCCCACATCCTTCAGTGGAGGCGAGGGCAGGCCAAGGGTCTGTGCCTGTGTCTATCTTCTCTGCAGAAGGATGGAGGTGGACAGACAGCATGGGGGAAAGCGTGTGGGCAAGGTTCTGTCCTCAGCCTTGCCTCATTGGTGACAGACAGATGCTGCCTTTGCCACTCTGCCTCTGAGGAAACAGGGACAGTCATTCCCACCCAGATTGCACAGGCAGCCTGAGGGAAAGTGACAGGTAGGGAAGGGCAACTGATATCTTCTGCTCTGAAAAGCACAAACATCTTTTATTTAAAATTATGAGAACTCTTACCATTTATTTCTGATGCTACAAGAGCTATAAGAACACACCAAGACAAAAATCTAAAGAACTAAAAGTATTTTCAGCAAGATATCCTCTTTATTTATTTTGCACACTTTCCTCTCATTCTCTCCTTTTTTGTAAACCAAGAGCCAGAAGTGTAAGGGCACTCTGGTTTCCAGAAAGCAAGACAAATAGTTTTAGCACAGAGGGCTGTAGAGCATTGAGATTCAGAGGCCTCCCTCTGCCCAGAGTCCTCCAGGGCTTGGCCAGGCACAGAGAGGCAGCAGACTCTGGGCTGCTTGTGAGAACACAGACCCGGCCCTGCAGAAGCACACAGTACCTGCCTTCAGGATACTCCTGGCAGACAGGGACATGGGACACCCAGTACCTGTTACAGCAAAGCCCCCAGAACCAGCTCTCGGCCTCAGATTGGGAAGAAACATGAGAGAAAGAATGAAGTGGAAGGCATTCCATACAGGAGGACTTCTAGGACAAAACAAGCTGCCCAGGTGAGACAAGACTGGGTAAATTTATTGATTTATTCTTCCATTTCTTCAACAAGCATCTAAAAAATCTAGTAAATTCCAGACACTCCTCAGGAACTGAGGACATAGTGATGAACAAAACTTGGCTGCTTCCCAGAGAAATGTACAATCCAGAGGTGATAATAGATGTGTATAAATAATTATAGCCTTTAAATAAGGGCAACATCCAAAGTCATACAAACCTATAATGCATGAGCAAAGAAGAGAGATAGATAGCATGGCCTGGGTGATGGGTGAGGGTAGGGGATGCCAGGCAACCTGCAGAAAGAGGGACCCAGGCAGAGAGGCAGCTACAAATGGAAAGAGAAGTGTGACAGGGCCCAGTCTGTGTCTCACCTGGCTGAGCAGATGGGTGGCCAGGGAACAGGAAGGTGAAGAGAGGGTAAGACTGGACCCAAGGGGAGTTTGAAGACTTGGCTATGTGGATCTGGGGATGGTGATGGTGAGGATGTTAGCAGGAAAGGACATACATGATCATCCCAACCTGGACCAAAGTGGAGTTGACAGAGGAGGGGGACACAAGTACTGAAGGCAAAGTGGGAGGCAAAGACAGAGACCCAGGAGAAAGAAAGAAGCCTCCAAAGGATCTTGAGCTGCCCTCAGTTTTTGAAGTGGGGCCATGTCTTGATGATGTTGTACAAAGCCTGTCCAGGGGACAGAGTGTTGACCACGTCACTATGGCCCATCAGCAGGTAGTTGGGGGTCAGGTAGCCCTTGAGCACAGCACACTGAATCAGGTCCTGGGCTGCCTGCAGTGCGGTGGCATTGGGTGGGTTGCCTGAAAAACACAATCACCCATTGACTGTAGGTCCCAGAGTGCTCAGTCCAGACAGGACACACTCCTAACCCCACTCCACCCAGCACCACTACCACACTAGTGTATTCCACTGGTGGTAGCTGCACTATGGAAAGACAGAAAACCAGGTCAAGACTTTAGATGTTTCAATTCCAAGGAGTTTCCAAAATCAAAAGGGCTGAACCTGAGAAAATAAACACAATTCTTTTGTTTTGTTTTGTTTTGTTTTGATACCAGGGATCAAACTCAGGACCTTGTGCTTGTAAGACAGGTGTTTATTCTGCTGAGCTATCTCCCTAGCCCCAACACAATTCTTTTGAGTACTCACAAAGTCTTTTTCCACTGCAAATGTTTAATCTAGAAGTTCTCTACTGGGTGTGGTTTAGTACCCCTAGGGACATTAGGCAATGTCTGGAGATATCTGTAGTTGTCACAGCTGAAAGATGTGAGGATCCTGTCATTATCTTGTTGATGGAAGCAAGGATACTACTAAGCATCTTACAAAATCCAGAATACCCCACAACAAAGAGTTTTTATCTGGTCTGAATTGTCAATAGCACGGAGGTATTAAGAAATAGTATTAAGAAATAGTATTTAAGTGATAGACATACTTCCTGCAGCTTACTATTTTCAGGTCAACCTCAGCCATGCACAATTCTGGGTCAACCCTGCCCATATCTAAGACCCATTCCAGTATCAATTTGAACTAGCCCCAGATTCAACTGAAAGCTCCTGAGTATAAATGAGTTGTAGGCAAGAGCTCTGAGCCTTGACAATCCACAGTATGTATTCTCAGTGTACAATCAGGGGTCTCTGTGGTTTGACATGTAAGGCATAATAGCCCCACATTGTTGCTATGGTAATCAAGAAAAGATGCAACTGCTAAGATAATCTGAAAATATTCACAGAGTACTCTGTAGATTCATGTGTGTTTCATGTGTTTCTTAGATACTAGAGAAGAAAGAGCCATTCACATTTGGATGTTGTGAAGGATGCTGTGAAGGAAACATGAATGTTCAGGAGGAACATTCAGTCTGGGAGTCTGTCACACTCAGTGACATGTCAAATTAGATGTCTCAGCATGTGTGGACACTAAGATGATGGTTGGAACTGATGTCTTTACTGTCCACAGCAGACACTCCCCCCTCCAAGGGCCAGAAATGACCATTTCTGCCCAATTCATTCAACTTACCTGTAAAGGTACCCATGAAGACAATGCCCAAAGCAATATCATTGTAGCCAGGGGTAGAAGAGCCTTGGACATTCCAGCCCACCCCTTCATAAACACCGCCATCCTGGCCCACGAGAAAGCTAAAGACCACAAGAAGAGATGGAAATTAGCATGAAAGAGGCACTTGGAGATTTCTTTTCATCTTCATTCATCCATTAATTAATGCCTTTACCTATTGTCTATAATTTACTAAAATCTACATTAATCTATTGTATTTTTAGTCTAAGTTACAGAAATAAGTAAGACTAGGTGTTTAACATTGATGAGCTGGTAAACCAGCAGGGGAGATGAGCAGGCAGAAAGGGAAGCAGGAAATCCTGATTCATAGAATTTGCAGGTTTCTGTGGAAGAAAACTCCCACCATGGCTGACTTTATCCTACCAATGATTTAACAACTGGCTTGAAAAATTCCTGAACTGTGTGGGAGTTTTGCTGAGCTGCAGCAGCCTCTCCCACCATCACAAAAGATAGACTGACACTGGATAGCTACAGAAGTCTGGTGAGCCCTGAACCTACCCCACTCCCCGCCGCCACATGCACACACATGCAGTTTGCAGGATCCTTGGTGAGACCTAGCCTGCCCCCCTCCAATATCATGAGAGCCTTGTAAAGCATCAACTCATTCCTATCATCCTCAGAGTCCTCCTGAACTGTGGTTTGGCCCTGCTTTACTGTGGTGAAAACCACTCTGAACCCCACAAAGAGGGAGCATTGGTGAGCCTACTTGGTCCCTGCTCCTTGCTCACTTGCTCCCCCATCATGCTACTGTTGCTGCTGAGTTTGCATATTGGGAGCTTCAAAAACATCATAATGAAGAAGCAAAAGGCAATCTCAGACCTCCAGCCCACCCAGAAAGAGTCAAGAAAACAAGGATGTAGAAAAACTTGGAAATCATACACCTGAAATTTCTGAAATGACAGCAACTGTTGTAAAGAAACAACTCCATCAGGGTGTAGAAGAAATCAGACCAGAAATAATCTCTTATGTAAAAAAAAAATGACAACAATCGTGAAAGAATTGCTCAGCACATCTAAAGAAGACATAGATAAAAACAGAATAGAAAAATGTTGGAAACATTGAATGAACAATACAGGAAAGGAGTATAATGCATAAAACAGGGTCAAACAGATGTCCAGGAAATTATGAATTCTGTTGAAAGCTGGCAAAAAAAAACTTGAAGGAAACTGAAGATAGACCATTAGACCTTGAAGACAGCGTTGCAGCTAGTGATTGCAAAAGGAGAGACCTCTTAAAAATAATAAGAAACCAGGAAATAACAATTCAACACCTGCAAGATGATGCAAAAAAAGCAAACCAAAACAAAACAAAAAGAAATGCAAGACTAATAGATGTCAATGAAACAGCAGGAGTCAACACAAATGACATAAAAAGATTATTTGCAGAAGTAGTAACAGAAAATTTCCCAAGCTTGGAAAAAGAATTGGAGGCATATAGAACTCCAACAAGCCATAATCAAAATAGTATTTACACCTAGATATATAGTAATCAAGATCCCAGAAATTCAACAAAAGGACATATTAGGCTGTTTGAAAAAAGAACCAGATCACCTACAATGGAAAGCCCATCAAGATCACAGCAGATTTCTCAGCACACCATCAAGAAGAGGCTGGAGGGAAGTATTTCAAGTCTTGAAAGAAAACAACTTCCAGTCCAGAATGATGTACCCTGAAAAACGATTATCAAGTTTAGTGGAGAGATAAAATACTTCCATGACAAAAAACAACTGAAGAAATTCGAGACAACTAAACCAAATCAATGAAGAGTACTGACAGAAATTCTAGGAAGACACAAAAACTACCACTACTTCAAGAACAACAACAGAAAGGAATCACGATGCAGAGCAGGCAATTAAGCAGAAGGGAAAAGTAGAGAATCTACAACAGAAGAATGACATGACAAAGAGAAGCCAAGGCAAATCAGTTATATAACCGTCAATGTAAGTGGTCTCAATGCAATGAAAAGAAGGAGACTGGCAAAGTGGCTCAATAAACAAAATCTAGAGGCTGGTGAGATAGCTCAAAGGACTAAAGTGCCTGCTTAGGCAAGCTTAAGTAAGAACAGAGACCTCAGTTCAATCCCCAGCACCACATGTGGTGCCAGGCACCCTGCAGGGTGCACTGAGCAGGTCACAGAGTTGAGGCATAGTGGCATATGTATGTAATCCCAGTGCTGGAGAGGATGAAAATAAAGGGATCACTCTGAATCTGAACTGCATAGTGACACCCTGTAACAACCAAATACATTTTTAAAAAAATCTAACAATATGCTGTATATAAGAAATACACTTAACTCAAAAGGAATTTCATAGACTGAAATTTGTCAAAGGATGAGAAACAATGCTCCATGGGACAGGAACCAGAACAATGAAAGTGTAGCTATTCTGGTTGGTGAAAATGTAAATTTCAAACCAAGAATGATCAAAAGAGATAAAGAAGGTCACTACACATTTGGTAGGGGAAAACTGTAACAAGAAGAGATAAAAATCACAGATATATATGTACCCAACATAGAAGCACCAAACTATATCAGACAAATTTTAACAGACATAAAAAATCAATTGAGCACTAACACAACTATAACAGTGGACTTTAATACTCAACTATCGCAAAGAGATAGATCAATTAGGCAAAAAAAATCAGCAAAGAAATAACAACTAAACAAAACTTGTGAAGAAATGGACTCAGTAGACCTTTACACTGTGTATCACCCAACAACACTGAATATACATTCTTTTCAGCTGCACATGGGACATTCTCCAAATAAACCATATACTAGCACATAGAGTATGCTTAAGTAAATGCAAAGGAATTAAAATTATCCCATGCATATTATCTGACCATAGTGCAATGAAACTGAAAATTATTGACAAATTATCCCCAAAACTCCATGAACACATGGAATTTAAATAACACCCTCCTAAACAATCAACAGGTCACAGAAGAAGTTAAAGAAATTAAACAATATTTATAATCAAATGAAATGCACATACAACCTACCAGACCCAGCACTGAAAGCTGTCTTAAGAGGGAAATTTATGGCAGTAAATTCTCACATCAAGAAAACAGAATAAGCCCAAATAAATCATCTTATGCTCACCTCAAACTCCTAGGAAAAGAATGGTCAAGCCCAAAGAAGGCAGAAAATCATAAACATCAAAGCAGAACTTAATGCAATGGTGATGAAGAAAGCAATACAAAGAATTAATGAATTGAGTTGGTTCTTTGAAAGAAAAATTAAAACTGATGAACCCCTAGCTACCCTTATTAAAAAAGGAAATAAAAAAATCCAAATTCCTTCAATAAAGAATGAAAAAGATGAAACTACTACAGAGCCCATAGAAATTCAGAAGATCATCAATAACTACTTCAAGGGGCCAGGGAGATAGCTCATTAGGATAAGTGACTGCCTGGCAAGCACAAGGTCCTGAGTTCAATCCCTGGTTCGACCAAAAAATAAATAACTACTTCAAAAATCTTTACTTTCATGATGTAGAGTGTGCCTAAGGAGAGTCACATGGAGAGAAAACATTCTCTCAGGCTTTCACAGAGAGCACAGTGGCCAAGCAATGGCTGTGACTCATCCACATGGCTGACACTCACAAGCAATCTGAGGTACAGGATCTCAGGATAAATCCTGAGGGGATTTCACTGACCTTATCAGACGCAAAAGCTACAACTCTTGTAGCATAGGTCCTTCTTTACCTTGGTCTTAACCACCCAGCAGAAAAGTATAAAAACAAAATATAAGAAATAAAGCCATGCTGTTATGTTGAGCTGTAGGGGACTCAGGTCAACAATTTCTGACATTGCCAGTGAAGCAGAAGACGCAATACTATTATGGACTACTGGACTCTTTTAGATTATTTTGCTGAGTTAACACACCTATAATATTCAAATAACAAAACTTAACAAAAAAAGGGTATACAGATGAATGTCCAGTTTGTATCTGTGTATTCAAAGTGGTTAGGATAGATATATAGTTACATTCTCTTAATGAATAGAGTGATTTGTTCTAATGGTGTTTGTAGATAGGATATCATGTCCGCATGTTGTACAGCAATTAACCACTGGGAGGAATGTATGCAATGTGTTAATTATTGAAACTGTCCTACCAATTTGATTTGAAACTGTCTCATTGCTATTTGTTTATCAATAAAATTATGGAAAATAAATAAATAAATAAAAATAGAAGTGTTAAGCGGGCCCAAGAAAAAAAAATCTTTACTTTCATGGGATGGAAAGCACAGAAGGAGATGGACAGATTTCTAAATACATATGAACTACCAAAGCTGAATCAAGAAGATATAAAATTATGAATAATCCAATATCAATGAATGAAATTGAAAATGTAATTTTTTAAAAACCTACCAACAAAGAAAAGACCAGGGCTTGATGGATTCACAACTGAATTCTATAAGAAATTTACAGAAGATTTATTGCCAACTCTTCTCAAACAATGAAAACAGGAGGGAAGCATTTGTCCCAAATTCATTCCTCGAGGCAAGTATTACTCTGATACCAAAACCAGAGAAAGACCAAACCAAAAGAGAGAACTATAGGCCATTATCCCTAATCAACATAGATGTAAAAACCCGCGATGAAATACCAGAAAACAGAATATGCCAAATCATCAAGAAGATTATACATCATGACCAAATGGGATTCATCCCAGGAATACAGGGATGGTTCAATATATGCAAATCCATAAATGTAATATACCACATCAACAGAACCAAAGGAAAAAACACATATGATCACCTCAATAGATGCAGAAAAATCTTTTGACAAAGTTCAACACTCATTCATGAAAAAAATCCCTACAAAACATTAGAATAGATGGTCTTTATTGCAACCTGATAAAAGCCATCTATGACAAACCAACAGTTAACATCTACTAAATGGACAAAACAGTGAAAGCAGAAAGCCTTCACTTTAAAATTATGAGCAAAAGGAGGATGCCCACTGTCACCACTCCTATTCAATACAGTTCTGGAAACATTAGCCAGAGCAATTAGATAAGAGAGAAAAATAAAAGGAATAATGATTGGAAAGGAAGAAGTGAAATCATCATTATTTATAGATGACATCATACTCTACATAGAAGACCCCAAAAACTCCACAATTAGACTTGTAGACTTAATAACCAAATTCAGTGACATAGCAGGATACTGAAGTCAACACTCAAAAATCAATAGCATTTCTGTACACACATAATGATGGCTTTTGTCATAGTTAAACTTTGGAAACAACCAAGGTGGCCATCAACTGAGAAATGGATAACAAAGTTGTGGAATTTTTACACAATGGAGTATTACTCAGCTATAAAAAGATAAACTGGAGGCTTTTATAGGTAAATGGATGCAGCTAGAGACCATCCTTACAAGTGAAATAAATCAGACCTAAATATGAAAACATGATATTGTTTCAATAATCTAAGAACCTGAAAGAGAAAATAAGATCTGAAAGCCACAATAGATACAGTCAAAAGGGAAGGAAAAACTGAGATAAGGAAAAGGACAAACGAAAGAAAGAAGGAAGGCTCCCAACCAAGGGCACCTCAGCCCACCTACTTCATCCACACACGAGCCTCACCTGCCTACGTGTCTCTCAGCCACTCTCCTCAGCCTCCCCTCCACCTTAGCCATTAGCCACTCCCCTCATTGACTCTGAACAGCCTCCACTCCTCCCCATTGCAGCTACCACCACCTAGTCATGTCACCATCTCCACTTGTCTGGCTGATGCAATCCTCAACTCTCACTTCTCTAGTGTTGCCCTTTTCTAATCCATTCCTGAAGAAAAAGCCAGAGTAGTCTTCCTAAAATATATATATCTTTTCATGTTGAGCTCCTACTTTTAGTCCCATGGTGCTGAGTCCAAATTCCTCAGCTGAAGCTATCTGATCCTTCACGGGACATCCTGTTTACCTCCTTAACTTCACCAACATCTTCCTTGGCATCCATAGAATCCTAGAGAGCCTCTCCCAGCTCCCCACAGGCACCACTTTCAGGCCGGCCTCAAGACCTTTCCATGGAGATCTTTTTCTCTCTGGAAATGTTCCTTTACTTTCCCACTCACTCTTTGGGTCCCAACTAACATGAAACTCTCACAGGGACCACAATTCACACTCACTTCCTCAGCAATCTAAGTCTCCTATTTAAGCCTGTGTACCCTCCATCATGATGCCTAAGGTACTTATTAGATGTTATTTCATTTCTTTATTCCCTCATTAAAGTGAAGTGTTAAGTCCCTGAAAGCAAGAACCTGTCCGTGCTCCACCTGCTGGTGCCTCTGGAGCACAGCCAGAGCTGGACCACGTGAGCTATGAGTGGGATGCTGACTTCAGCCCTTGTCAGAGTGAGAAAAGGGCCATCGTGAGCTGTGCTAGACAGGAACACAGTCAGAGTCAGCAATCAAGAGACCTGGGCTGGCAAGATAGCTTAGCTGACTAAGCGCCTGCTTGGGCAAGTGCAGGGACAGGGTTCGATCCTGGCACCACAACCCCCACCAGCCCCGGCCCCAAGTCTGGGCATGGTGGCTCAGACCTATAATCCCAGCGCTGGGGAGGCTGAGAACAGGAGGATCACTGCTTAGTGAGACCCTGCACCAAATACATCAAAAATAAAAAATCAAGAGACCGTAGGAGGAAGAGGGGAGACCTCCCCTCAATTTCTATCATTATCCAGTTTAGTATTCCCAAATTTCAGATGTCCACAGAGATGAAGAAGAACCAAAGTGTTTGGTCATCTTTGATAGACGGTGTTGGAGAAGAACATTTCCCTGTCCTAAAAGATCATTACTGAAAGGCGCAGCCCGCTCAAGAGTAGGTACCAAGCGACAGGAAATCTTCTTCCCCTGTTCACAGCTCTGCAGGCTGCCTCATGCACACAGGCACTTGGCGGGGGCACAGGAGGGAGTGAAATCCAGCTCCCCTGGCCAAGTCAGGAGTGCCCTAGTGGTGGGGGCTCCTTTATTAACATGTACGAATGCATCACGTAAGCAGCGGTAACTGTAAGTTCTTCAGTGTGATTCTGTCTGATAGCACCTAGATGAAGTTGCATCCTAGTTGTGCGTGCAACCCCTAGAGCATCCTCAAGAAATTTGTATTTGGTTTGTGCATCACTTGGGCTTTTTCCATGTGTGCTAGTCTGAAGCTAGTCTAAAGTTTTGTTTGTTTGGGAGGCACTGGGGATTGAACCTACGGCCCTTACACTGAGTTACATGACCACTCCCTTTTCTATTTTTTATTTTAAGACAGGGTCCCACTAAGTGACTAGGTTGCCCACACTGGGCTTGAACTTACAACCCTCCTGCCTCAGCCTTCCAAAGGGTTAGGATTAGAGCCATGCAGCACCATGCCAAGTTAAAATTACTAGTATTTTACATTCTTTGATGGACAATTCTTGATCAAAATTCTCTTACAGCAATTGGAAACCCATTTGGGTTACACGTAAAGAGGAAAAAAGAAAGAAAATGTTTCTCTTCCATTCAGTCAGTGTGCTATTACTGAGCCACAGACTTTAGTACTAGAAAAGTCAAAGGTTAGCCTGTCTGTCTCCTCCTTGCCTTCAAACAAGAAATATTTCCCTTTACCTTGGTCTTAACCATCCAGTAGAAAAGTATGAAGTCGAAATATAAGAAATAAAGCCATGCTGTTAAGTTGAGCTGTGGGGGACTCAGGTCAATAATTTCTGACATTGCCAGTTAAATATAAGACCCAATGCTATTATAGGCTACTGGACTCTTTTAGAATATTTTGCTGAGTTTACACACCTATAATATTCAATAACGGAACTTAGAAAAAATGGGGTATACCGATGAATGTCCATTTTGTATCTGTGTATTCAAAGAGGTTGGGATAGATATATAGTTGCATTCTCTTAATGAATAGAATGATTTGTTCTAATGGTGTTTGTAAATAGGATCACAAGTCCGCATCTTGTACAGCAATTAACCACTAAGAAGAATATATGCAGTGTATTATTTGTTGAAACTGTCCTTCCGATTTGATTTGAAACTGTCTCATTGCTATCTGTTTGTCAATAAAACTTTGAAATAAATAAATAAATAAATAAATAAATAAATAAAAAGAAATATTTCCCAAGGAGGTTTCCTGTCTTTAGATACAGAGAGTCAACACAACGTCACAAGAGGAAGAAGTTTCCAGCTGTGGCGGCCTCCTCTAATGTCTTTTCAGCAGTCTCAGCACCTTTTGTGTGAATAAATCACCTTTAAAGAGACACATGTTCTGTAATAACCCCTCGGCTTCCTCCTACCTCAGGCCCACCCAGAGTTAGGTGGAAAAATTGAAGAGGTGGTGCCTAAAGGGCCTGTCCAATGGTATTGGTACAGCTTAATGTCCTTTCCCACCCCCTCAGAGGTTCAGTTTCTACCCTCAACAAAAGAAAAGAACCCAGCCCCACCCCCACCCCACCCATCTCCCATCCCCCAACCTCCAACCCCCAACCCCCAACCCCCACCCAGGTCGTTGGATCCACTTACTTGTACCCAATGTCGCACTCTTTGTATTTGTCCACAGAGAGGGACTGCAGATCCTGAACCAGTTGGCGGCACTCCTCAGCCACACTACAGGTTCTCCCAGCCGTGTGGAGGATGATCACATACTTAGCAGGGAGGGACATCTCGTGGCAGTGGGCCACCCTGGCCCCCCAAGCTGACCGTGGGACAATGCTGGGGCAAGCTGTGGTGAGAACGAAACAAGGTGTGGAGAGTTAGTTTTAGTCACCCGCGTCAGCCACATCACCGCCAAAGGCTGCCATGACCTTCAGGTGACTGACACATCCCATCCCCCATGCCTGCCCCGGGCCTCCTCCCTGACCCTGGCTGTGGCACTCAGGAGGAGGATGTGTCCCAGCAGCAGGAGCTGGGTTCTTTATTCTGAAAGAATGTCTTTGACAGTCACTTAGAGTCCATAAAACTCCGTTAGCACAAAGCAATACTTAGTGTCGATGGCACCAGCGCAGATAGCGCTCGTAATTTTAGCTTAGCATGGTGTCGCATGACAGTAATCCCAGCACTCTGGAAGGCTGAGGCAGAAGGGCTGCAAGCTCAAAGGCAGAGATCACATTGACTCAGTGCTTCGGGATGATAGAAATAATTCCTCCCAAACTTTATTAGGCCCAAAAAAGGCTGAAAGCATTCTCCTTCTCCTCCTTCTCCTCCTCGTCCTCGTCCTCCTCCTCCTCCTCCACTTCTTTTTTTTTCTCCTCTTCTTTCTCCTTATCCTTCTTCTCATCTTCCTTTTCTTCTCCTTCTCCTCCTCTTCCTCCTCCACCTCTTCCTCCTTCTCCTTCTTTTTCTCTTCTTCCTCTTCCTCTCCTTCTCCTTCTTCTCCTTCTCCTTCTCCTCCTTCTTCTCCTTCTCCTCCTTCTTCTTCTCCTCCTTCTCCTTCTCCTTCTTCTCCTTCTCCTCCTCCTCCTTGATTAAATTCAAGGCCTTGCACATGCTAGACAAACACTCTACCACTGAGCTACATCCCTAGCCCGTTTTACTGTTTTTAATGTTCTCTCTTGTAAACCAATAGTGTTTACCCAGTTGCCCTTCCTGTAAAGTCAACTTAAGTGGTAACTTAAGTTCCCCTCAGCATGTAAATCTGTTAGTGTTCTACTTTTTGTCTTCAGAAATGTGTATTTGTGTATAAGCATGTGTATAAATGTGTATAAATATATTGTGGCCCTTTCTAAGCCCTTTTTCTTTTCTCCATTTAGCACAAATATTTTACTTATTTGTTGCCTTTCTTTGCTCTCTACAATGAAACTCCACAGGTCCTAGACTTTTGTGCTTGCTCCTTTTGTATATTTTCATGGACTAGCAGGTGCTGTGTGACTGCTTGTGGAAGGATGAACTAATTGGAGACACATATAGACACTGGGCACAGTGCCAAGGCCCCGTCATCCTGGAATCTGAATGGTAAAGATCTGGCCTGGAGCATCTCTGTCAAAGTCTTCCAGCCTCAAAGTTTCAGAGAAGTGGGTGAGATAAAGGGTTCCTGGACTATCAGGAAGAGTCTAATGAGACCCTGGTGAAGAAGTCACTCTTGGAGGTACCTAAGAGCCAGTGGGGTGACTCTGGAGGGAACCCAGTGGGGCGGGAGTTCTCACCTTTCCTTGGACTTGCTTTCTGTGGAGGGGCCAGGCAGTTTTCACCTTTCACAAAAAGTGGCTGGATGTACCTGGGTGATAGGTGGCCCTTTAGGACAGCGTAGGAGATTAGGGCTTTCATGGCTGACAGGGCTACAGAGCTGGGACTACGGCCTAGAAGAGAGCAATTTGAGGAAATATCAGCCTTCCCTGGGTCCCAGGGGGGCTGTGTGAAGAAGACAAGATGCCCTGCCAGAGCCTGCCAGCTGATGGAAAAGAAGGGGACCAGGCTCATCTCCTGGGGCAGAGCCATGAACTTCAAGGATGGTCTAGGCAGAGCTCTCAGTGGTTTAGAATGAAGCCTTTTCTCAGTAACTTCCCAAGACTTCATTCAGAGGCAGCACCATGCTGGGCTGCACCCAACTGCTCAAGCCAGTGACTCCCACCCCAGGCATACACCAGGCTCTTTATCTGCACTAACTCACTTAATCCTCATCACAAATCTGAGGTTGATGCTGCTATTAATTCCATTAAGAAAAACTTGAAGCTCTAAAAAAAATGACATGCTCACAATAGCAAGCCAACAAATGGCAACAAAGAGCTATTTAAAAAAAACACTGACAAAAAATAAGTAAATGGAGAGGTCAAACACAAAGAGTTCTCTGATGTGGAAGCCACAGAGGCATGGTTTAGTGCCTCTCCTCATGGCAGTGTCACTTTGGACCACCTACTTCCCAGAGACTCAGGCTGTAGCCTGTGGTAACAGAAATTGTGAAATCTGCCTGAGCTACCTCAATAGGTATTGGTGAAGAAAATGATAAACTAGATGATACGAGTTTTGGAGAGTGCACATTCAGGATGCACGTGATGGAAGCTAGGAGCAGTAGGCCAGAAGAAAGTGGGAGGAAGTCAGAGACTGGAGGCCTCCATGCATCTTTTTTGGTGCATGGGAAGCCTGACAGTGAGAGGTGGAAAGAGGAGGTGCCTGGCAGGAAACTGGAAGCACAGCCCGCAGCTATAGAAATGTGGCTGCTCGACAGGAAGTGTGACAGTCCCTGAGCCAGAGGGGAGAGCTGCAGAGAGGTGAGAGGGAAGAGAAGACGGGAGCATCTGTCCCTCTGAGTGGGCTAGAGGAAAGGGGCTGCCGCAGAGATGGAGAAGGAAGCCCAAGGAGTTGGGGGAGGAGCATAATAACACCACGGAGGCCAAGGAAGAAGAGCGGGACAAGAGCGTGATCTTCAAAGATACGTGTGCCGCGCAGTGTGGAAATGAAACAACAGAGAAGTCTTAGGAGAAGGATCAGCTGGGCTGATCATTACCTTCCTTGGTGCCAAAGAAGGCGATGCCCAGGGTGATGTTATTGTACCCCTTGGTGTGCAGGCCTTGGATAGTCCAGCCAACGCCTTCATATACCCTGCCATCGTCCCCGACCAGGAAGCTGCTGAGCAAGAAAAGTAGACTTAGTGGATGGCATGGTAGCATACTCCCGGGAGCTGAAACCCTTCACCCAGGCTCAGGAGAGGTCCCCAGCTATGTAAAAGGAAACTCCATGGATTCTTCCCAGACAAAGGAAAGGCCCAGTCAGTTATCTGAGTCCTTAACAATCAAAAAGACCTACTCCCACATTGTATGTCTCCCTCCCCTGCTCAGACATGAGTCATATATGCATCATCCTATGTACTCAGGAGGAGGAGAGGTGCTGAAGCCTGCAGAGTAGCTCATGAAGACCCACCAGACAGTTTTAGGGCCTCCTCTGACTCCACAAATCCTTACACATGGTTCTCCTCCCCTCACTGAAGTGCGTGCTGCCCATGAGATCCCCACATAATTTGGTATCTGCTGGTAGGATAACTCACTCACAGAGACCTTAAACTTAAGATGACAATGTAGATGCAAGCAGTGCATTGAGGAAGTGATTCCAGAAGGTGGAGTGAGGGAGCAAGGAGAATGAGAGGAGAGAGAAACTCAATAAAGTACAACCCCAGGTCTGGTTTTCATAGGGGCATCAGGGCCCACACCCACACCCTCCACATCCTTCTGTGCACGTAGACTTGGGACCTGTCCTTTAGAAGGGCTAAGGGCTGAGAAGACCACCCATCAACCCCCAACCTCCAGGGGCTCATTAACTCTCCTTCCTCATCAACCACTTGGGGGGAGGCCTAGAGCAGGAAATGATGGATGGTGTGGCCCTTGAGGAAGGAAACTGTCACTGTGATCAGGAAGTGTCCTCAGCTGCCCAAAGTCAGATGTGAGTTTCCTGGGTGGATCACTAGGGGAAGAGGTGGAAGGTTTGCTCTATCGAGGGGGATCCCATACTTGTGGTAAGGTGGGGCATACTGTGGGTATAGAGCTTAGGCTGGGATGTGCTGGCCAGACCAACTATGGATAAGCAGAAAGTGCAGTTATTACTTCACCTTCTTTGCTTCCTCTAGAAGAGTGCAGAGGCAGAGACTTCCTAGAAAATCTCAAAGAATTTAGGATTTCATGAGTCTTAAATATTTTATTCTTTATAAAGCCTACATAACCACAACCCAGAAGGTGAAGAAAACAGATGAGAAGGGAGAGCAGCTTTGATCACAGGCCTGGGGGCCCAGGCCCAGCATCTTACTTGTAGGCCACATCGCACCCTCTGTTGTTGTGGACGTGATAGGACTGCAGTTCCCGCAGCCTCTGACTGCAGGCAGTCTGGTCTTGGCACTCCAGTCCAGGGATGTGGTGTGTGACAAGGACATCCACCGGCACCATCAGCTGAGACCTGCAGCCAACAGCTTCTGCTCCCCACTGCTTGCGAGAGACCATTGTGAAGACATCTGTGGGGGTCCATGGATGTCACTTGCTGCATTCTGCCCCAGGGGTCCACATCAAGGGCCTGAATTACACTTGCTGGCTGGAGCCACATCAGCCCCATAGTGATCAAAGAGCCCCAGGAGGAAGCCCACAGGGGGCAGGTACACTCTCCCTGCTCACCCCCATATCCCTATCTCACGGATACACACCTAGTTGTACATACCAGCTATGGAATCTAGATGGTCTCTGTTCCAAACTGTCCCCCACAACAGAGTCTATCTCCCAGGCATCTCCCAGGCCCTGGTCTGGGCTGCTCCAGGGCCCTGCTTGAAGGAATAGCTCCACCTCACTGCTTATCTCTGGGGAAGGTCCTCCTTGGCCTTATGCCGTGTCACCTCGGCAAGTATAGCCTCAGTGTGTGCTCCTTGGCCCTGAATACCCCCTGGGGGTGGGGCCACATCTCCTCCTCACTCCAGGGCTCCCTCCAGGCACTGATGTGTCTCCCTCTCAGTCTCTGCACTCCCTGGGGTCAGGGTTTGGTCTCCGTCTATTGCAGAGACTATCCCTTTCCTGGATTTCACTTCTTCCCATTCCTGCTCCTATATCCCAAAGACCTAGTACAATCTGTGCAAGTGGTTGGCCAGTGCCTTCCTCTACAGCTGAGCTCCATTCATCCATTCCAATCCCATGTGGCTGTGCAAACAAGAGAAACACCTCTGGCCACATGAGAAACCCAGGGCCCCAAGCCTCCTCACCATCAAGACCAAGTCTGCCTTTTTCATTGAGCTGGGTGAGGCTTCCAAACAGGTTTTGTAACCCCTCTGACATCTGTTTTGCTTGTGTTTTGTCCCATGAGGAAACATCTGCAAAAGAATATTCCATTTTGCATCAGTACTGAATACATCAGAAGCATGAGCTCCAGCCAGTAATAGCTTTTCCCTTCTCTCTCTCTCTCTCTCTCTCTCTCTCTCTCTCTCTCTCTCTCTCTCTCTCTCCATATCCCCAAACTCTCCAGGGAACCCCTGTAAATTGACTAGAGGACCCCTATTAATAACAGCAGTCAGCATGACTTTCTCCGGCACCAAGTTCTGGTAGCGTCCTCTCAGGACCAGATCCTGGTAACAGCCCTGGGATGGCAGTGAAGAGCTGAGCAAGGGAGTCTGTGTATTAGCCTAGTTTCCCAAAAGGTATCTACACACACATTTAGCAATAAAACAACTTCAAAATGTATATAGGAGCCTCAAAGCCACAAAGTCCTCTTTGGTGTGAATTTTACCCAGTGGAAGCAACGTGGAGGAGTAAGTGGAGGAGCAGGTAGAATTATCAGTATAAATCCGGCCAGTTCCTGGTTATTCAGGAGCATCTGACAAAACCCAGGCTCCAAAGCACAGGACCATGGGTATGAGCATAGGCATCAGTCAACATCCCTGGCCCCAGCAAGGGACACTGTCACCCACAAGAAGTTTTCATTTATTTATTTATTTATTTATTTATTTATTTATTTATTTATTTATTGTATTTTAGAGAAGGATCAACAGGGTGTTCAGGGTCTCACTACTTGACCAGACTCGTAGTGATCCGCCTGTTTACAGCCTCCCAAGAGCGGGGATTACAGGTGGGCACCACCACGCCCAGGCTCAATTGCTGTCTCAGTGTGCCCCAGGGGTGGGGGTGGCACTGGAGGCCCCAGGGATCAAATCCCCAGCCCTTGCACCTACTTGCAGGTGCTTAAATCCACTGAGCTATTTGGCCGGCCCTATTTATTTTTCTTTTTATATATTTGGTACAGGATCTTACAAGAAAGCTCAGACTCATAGCGATCCTTCTGTTTTCAGCATTCCCAGCACTGGGATTACAGGTGTGCACCACCATGCCTAGTCTTGGTGGCTGATCAGTGTGCCCGTGGCAAGGCCAGCACAGCATGCTGCACCAGGGATCGAACTTGGGTTCTTGCACTTGCCAGGCAGGAGTTTAGACCACTGAGCTAGCTATCTCTGTGGTCCTGATATTTTCTCTTCTTGATGAGCAAACTTTGGTTGACACCCTCTTAATAAACATTGTGGCCATTTATTTCATTTTACTGGCCAAGTATTAAGTCCTATGTGTACATTATTTAATCCCCACAATATGTTTACAAGACCTGTTACCAAGCCTCAATTTGCAGGTAAAAAAATTAAGATTTAATGAGTTCAGTAACTTATTCAAAAAATCATTATGAGATGCAGAATAGGGATTTTAGCCCAGGTCTAGAGACTGCAGGATCTGTGCTCTAAACATAAAGGGAAGGACAAGCGCTTAAACAATGCCTATTAGGAGACTTGAGGATGACTCCTCTATGGTGGTCTCCAGTCCAGAGAAAGGAAACTTACCGAAGGCTTCAACACTGAGAGCAGAGAAGACAAGAAGCCAGGGCAGCATCCTCATATGGTTCTGTGGTAGCAAATGGGGACAGAGTGGCCAGCAGCCCTGGGAGGACAGAGTCCCGGGGAGAGACACTGACAGTTAACATGACCGTGCTCACGAGCACCCCCACACTGCATGGTACTGCATTTGCCCTCCACTACCACACTGCGGGCCTCCTGAGAGCCAGAGCCGCTCTCAGCCTTCTCAGGGTGGTCTGCAGACCAGAGGGGCAAAGCAGAGCGTCCTGGTACCCTGCCGGCTCCTTTTCACTGAGTGTCTACTGTGTGCAAGGACTATGCAGATGCTTGAACATGCAGCCTAACTTACCAGCTACCTTAGTTCTGTAATACAGAATTGTTAACCCTCATTTCAATAAGACACAAGAAATCCAACCAAGGTATCCAAACTCTCTGGGATGAGTCTACCACAGAGAATTCCCTCCTCATGGGGGATGGAACAGGTTGGGGGGTAGACAGGACAAGGAGAAGGCTCTGAAGAAGAAATACTCACATTAACACTCCAAAATGCCTGTGAACCCTGTGCTATCCCTGCCCAGGACCCTTGAGACTAATATGTCCTAGATAAGGGAATCAGAAGGAAGGCTGAGTAGGTTTGGTTTGTCCCTTTCATGGGGAAGAGATCCCACTTCAGTCTGGCTTTTTCACTTCAGAAGCCTCTGTGATCAGAAGGGACTGGCAGGGCATCAGAGACCTCCCTCCTTCATGGCAGAACTGGGGAGAACATGGATCCCAGTTCTAGGGCAGAAGAAATCTGATTTAGCACTGATCTGGTCAAATCCAGCCCCTTCTGGGGAAACCAACACTCACACTCAGAAATACCTGTGGACCCTGCGTTGTTCCACCCCGCAGGTCAGGGTGCAGTCCACTTGCCTCTCATTGGCTGGAGCTCCTCCCTTCAGACTTGGCTTCCAGGTCCTGCCCCTCCTCCAGCTGGTTCTTCTTTCTTTTCCTCCTCCTTCTTCTTCTCGTCCTCCTCCTCCTCTTCTAGCCTTTGCTCTCCTTCACACTAAGAAGGAACTCCCTCCTTGGGAAGGGAGCACTAGGGTCCTGGCTTCCCAGAATAAAGAACACCTTGGATCCCTAACAGAAGGTGGAGGACAGAGGTCTGAGGCTGAGAGCTTCCTATGCACATGTCACTGAGAGGAGCTCCAGTGAAACCAGACTGGAGCTGAGAGCAAGTGGGGACCCGCCCTATGAATAAGCCCAGGTCCCTCCTCCCTGGGAAAGGGCCTGATTGCCCAACTCTCCAGGAGCGCCTTCCCCATCTCCAGCCCTTGGTAAGCACTATCAACATAGTGCGGTCCATGGGGTCTAAGGGCTGGATCCCTGACATCTGGGAACTTCTACCCTTACAGGAAGATCTGCTCCAGGTATCTGAAGGTTGTGGATTTATGTCACTCACTAGTGTACACACACACACACACACACACACACACACACACACACATACACACACATGAGTTCACAGGGGTCTAGGCCAGGAGGGAGGAGGAAGAGACATAGAGAGTTATGCTCTCAGTAGTCAGCGCCCAATTGTGACCCCGTAGGCTACACATCCATCATCCTGCCTCCTGCCATACCCCATCCTGTCATTAAATGTGTCATGGAAAGAAGTCTCTGTAAACTGAGCACCTCCAGTCCCTCTCCCACTCCTAGCTTGGTGGTGTTAAAGCATGCCCTGGCTAGGTTATGTGTTCTACAGTTCTTGCCTTGTAGGGTGGCAGATCTTGCAGAGTAAGCACCACATGACACTATCCAAGAATGCATACCTCCCAAGGAGCCCTTGGACCCATCTTTCAGAGAATGGGCAGCCTCAGAGACCCTGGAAATGTCCCAAGTCAATAAAGTCTGCCCTTGAGGAAGCTCCCTGAAAGAGATCCTTGAATGAACACAGGGTTCACCCACCGTTTCACTAGTGCTAAGCCCAGGCCCAGGCTGGAGCCCTGTGACAGCTGGGACTGATGACCTCTGCCCAGTCTAGGATGCAGATGGAGCACAGCTAGCTACAGATGTGAAGGAGATTAAGAACTGGAGCCCAAGACCTGTACCATAGGAATCTTCTGATCCTCAGAAACACGCTGTTTCTTTATGCCTCAGCTGTCTGTACTTTCTAAGACATTGAAGCCCTTAGAAAATAAGTCCTGTGGGCCTGCATCCAGGGACATCCAGAGAGTTGCAGACATTCAGCTTCCTTCCACAAGAGGGAGTCAGGGATTGAAGGGCAAAAAAGGGACTGGGAGCAGCTGCTACCAGAACCAGCAAATGTTCTGTCCTGTCTGGACATCAACATATTTCTGGAGACATATAGTCCCGTGAGGCAAATCTCTGACCTGCACAAGGACATCAGGAGTGAGGTGGGGTGGTCTGGTATGCTCCACTCTGCTTCTGTGAGCTTAAAACTAAAGTCCTAAGAAGGCCTTCTAAGTCTTGAATTACCTGGCCCTTGTCACCCACCCCTTTCCCCAGCCCCATCTCAGTCTTAGCACTATACCAGAGTGGTCTGGCGCCGCTCTCTGTCCTCACCCGGCATAGTGAAGCCTACCTGTGCCTTTCCACTTCTTCTTCTCCTGGGAGCTGAGGGAGGGGGCACTGCTCCAGCCTGACTTAGTCAAAGAAGCCTCTGTGCTGAGTGGGGACTGGTGGAGCATCAGAGAGCCCCACTTCCCAGAAGTCATCTTAAACTGGAGAGCTTGAGCCTGGTTCTGTCAAAGAAGAGCACCGGTAGGATGGATTTGTGAGGTGAATTCACCATTCTTTTCCACAGAAGACTGTTTGTATTTGTTTGTTTGTTTGTTTTGATACAGGGTTTCGTTATGCAGTTCAGGACTCAGGGTTGTAGTGATCCTCCTGTCTCAGCCTCCCCAGCACTGGGATTACAGGTGTGTGCCACCACGCCCGGGCTCAGGGCAGCATGGCTCGCCCAGGGTTCAGGGCCGTACACATTATCGTGGATGGAACTCAAGACCTTGTGCTTGGCAGGCAGGCAGGCACTTATGCCACTGAGCTAGTTTCCCAGCCTGACTTTCTTTATTTGGAAGAGCAGAAAATGGCCAAATTATGGATACTCATACTTATGTATATGCCAGACATTTAAAAAAAATAAAATGAGAAAGGTAAGCTTTAATTTGAAAGAAAATAACTAATGGAATTATTAGCTTAATAAAATTAGAGTTTTCAGGCAAAAATTAAAATTTAGAAATTTATGTTTGCTACCATGATTTGACAGCATCCAAACACTTAAAGGCTTTACTGATAAGATCAGTAGTGATATTAACAAAGTGACATATGCATAGATACACACATATATACATACATCCATATATACATATAAGCGTGTACTTGCCCTGGATCCTAAAACTGGTCAGCATTTAGAAGATGTTCCTGAGCCACAGTCTTTTCCAAATGAAGTTACAAAATCATGCTCAGCTCAAACAAGGACCCAAAATTCAAGGTAGCCCAAATTCTTTCTTTCTTTCTTTCT